AATCCGGACCGCGTGGTCTGGGCCGCGGGTACGTGTGGACGGCGGGTGTGGTCCGAGCGCGAGTACCGAGGAGCACCGAGCACCGGGGGATGGGGGGGTGACTCTTGACTGTAAGCTGGGGACACGCGGGCCTTGAGGGGGGAGCGCGTGCAAGGGGGGGACACGTTTCCACCGCGCCGGGACCACCGGAGTCTGGCGGGTGGAAGGCCCTGCGTGGATGTGAGTTGAATGAATGAGCGTTCTGACGAATGTAACAAACAGCAAACAGGAGTGTTTATATCACAACCACCTGGACCCAGAAGGAGACAGAGAGAGCCCGGGCAGCTCAGAGGTTTTGGAAACTGGCATTTGGGTTTGAGAGACCTGTTTTTGTTTTGATTTTTTGTGCAGCTGCTTGGGAGAAGCTGCTTTCTCAATTGTCACCTGATTTACTACTCCTGCGTCCCCGCAGTGGGAACCTGGATGAGGTTCACAGTGGGAAGATTTCCTGTTGGAGGTCAGGAGGTCACACAGGTAGCACCGGGGCCAGGCTTGCCAGGCTTGGCCTCCCAAGTACTCCCTGATGGCAGGTCGTTCCACTGGGGTGAGATCCTTCTCACAGATTCTGTCCAGAGCGGAGTTTCTGGAATTATCCATCTTCATGGTTCAGTCTTGGGGCCCTGCACGGCAGAGACTGGCCCTGGGGAGCTGGCTCTCCTAAGGGCATTGTCGCAAGCATGACCACAGAGTTGGGTCGGGACTCAGCTTCACCACTCTCTCCCTTGCCGGGTGACCCTGGGCAGCTTCCTGAGCTTCTATGAGCTGGTTCAGTTTCATTGACTGCAAAGAGGTGCTGAGAGCAGAAACACCTGCCTAAAGTGCACAGGAGATAATGCGTGTGTGTTGGCGGGGGAGGGGTTGTCTAGCACAGATTCTAGTTTCTGTTACATCGTTTTCCTATTTTGTTATTTGTATGGTACATGCACACGTTATCAAATTGAAGAGGTATTAGCCAAACGTGCTGGCTCAGGCTTGTAATCCCAGCACTTTGGGAGGCTGAGGTGGGCAGATCACCTGAGGTCAGGAGTTGGAGACCAACCTGGCCAACACGGCCAAACCCTATCTCAGCTAAAAATACAAAAATCAGCTGGACATGGTGGTGGGTGCCTGTAATCCCAGTGACTCGGGAGGCTGAGGCAGGAGAATCGCTTGAACCTGGGAGTGGGAGGTTGCAATGAGCTGAGATGGAGCCACTGTACTCCAGCCTGAGTAAAGGAGTGAGACTCTGTCTCAAAAAACAAAGTACACAGGATATATTGTGTGTGTGTGGAGGGGGGGATGTCTAACACAGATTCTAGTTTCTGTTATATTGTTTTCTTTTCCTATTTTATTATTTGTATGGTACAGGCACATTTGATCAAATTCAAAAAATAGAGTTTGCAATGATTACAATGAAAAGTAAATCTGTAGCCAGGTGCGGTGGCTCACGCCCATAATCCCAGCACTTTGGGAGGCTGAGGCAGGTGGATTACCTGAGGTCAGGAGTTCGAGACCAGCCTGATCAACATAGTGAAACCCCGTCTCTACTAAAAATAAAAAAAATTAGCTGGACGTGGTAGCGGGCACCTGTGATCCCAGCTACCGGGGAGGCTGAGGCAGGAGAATCGCTTGAACCTGGGAGGTGAAGGTTGTGGTGAGCCAAGATCGCGCCATTATACTCCAGCCTGGGCAACAAAAGCGAAACTCTGTCTCAAAAAAAAAAAAAAAGAAAAGAAAAGAAAAGAAAAGTAAGTCTTGCAAGTCTCACCCAGCCACACAGATTCTTCCCCACAGGCATCTAGTGTTCTTAGTTCCTTGTGAGTCATTTTGGCGGCTGAGGGAGAATTTGTCTTTTATTTTTATATTTATAGATTTATATATTTATATATTTTTTGAGATGGAGTCTCATTCTGTTGTCCGGGCTGGAGTGCAGTGGTGCGATTTTTAGCTCACTGCAACCTCTGCCTCCCCGGTTCAAGTGATTCTCCTGCCTCAGCATCCTGAGTAGCTGGGATTATAGGCACCCACCCCCATACTGGCTTTTTTTTTTTTTTTTTT